GGCACTAAAGGTTTAAATAACTTGAACAGGGTCACACAGTCGGGATTTGTCAGTACAGACCCCAAGTCTTTTCTGATTCTAAGACCAACCCTCCTCCACTCACTACCCCATGAGGCCAATTGGTTTTTAGGTTTAAGATCTTTAGATACAGAGGACAAAACAAGAGGAGGTTACAGAACAAGATGGGGCACCCATTAGCCGGTGACAACCCCAAGGACATACCCCATCCCCAAGACCATCCTTGTGCCTGGATCTATGAAAGAACCGTTAACAGACCATTCCAAGCTTCATTAGTATATGACAAGATCATATGTGAGAGCGGATCAGTGGGCAGCTAGGTGGCACAGTGAATAATGCACTGGCCTTGGAGTCAGGAGGACCTGAGTTCAAATCCAGCCTCAGATACTTACTAGCTGTGTGACCCTGGGCAAGTCACTTAACCCAGATTGCCTCCAAAAAAAATAGGGAGAGTGGGTCAGACAGACAGAGCCAGGCTACAGTTGCCCTGGCAGTAATCACTGGAAGGAGAGTTTTAGAATAGAGAAGAAAAGGAGACAGATTCCCTTGGACCAAGTAGAACCCAAAATGTGGAATCTGGGATCATAAGATCACAGGATTTCAGACTTAGAACAAGAGCTTTTCTAGAGTGACCAGCTCTCCCATTTTACAGGTGAGGAAATTGAGGCCCTGAGAATTGAAGCAACTTAAGGCCACATCCATACAAAGTTGACTCCAAATCCAGTTGTTGTTGTTGGGTTTTTTTTTCTGGGAGAATTTATTACCCTGTGATTCTATGCCCTGAACTCCCCATAGAGGATAGCCTGAAAAAAAGGGAAATAGAATTAGAGCTACCCAATAATTTATATTGCATTTTGAACCTCCAAATCCTGTCTTTGACTGTGAGAGGCCATGATGAGAACATGGTAATTATGGCCACAGCCATAAACTAAGGGCAATAGATACTGGTGCTTAAGATTTTTAAAATATGTGCAAAGAGTTATTTCAGGCCCTTAGTTACTCATCTGAAATCTTCAGGCCTGAGCAGCTCAATCACATGGCTACAGAGGCTGGGGGGATTGGGAGGTGAATGTTAAGTGTCAAGAACAGTTGGGCCCAGCTTACAGACATGGCGGGTGGTGCTGGCAGACACAGAAGAGCAGAGAGACAACGTATCAGAGAAATTCTCTTATGCAAAGGCAGCTAAGTAGTATAGCAATGCATACTGGACCTGGAGTTAGAAAGACCTGAGTTCAAACCCTGCCCCCAGATAGCTGTAAATCTTAGGCTAGTCATTTAGCATCTTCATTCAGCCTCATTGCCCTTGTCTATAAAATGGGGATAATAATAGTATCTACCTCATAAAGTTGTTGTGAAGACCAAATGACCCTGCCATATATGTCTGATGAGGCTCCAGGGCTCCGGGTTCAAATTGGCCATGGTTAGTCACAAAGCACTCTTTATTTGAAAAACTCTATTATTTCTCCTCACTCCCTCCTTGCAATACTGGGACTAAGTTACTGGGCCCTCAAGATGGTAATAATAAAGCATACTTTTCAACAGGACCATTGTGGTTCAAAGCAGTTTTCCCACAAGTCAGGTGAAATAGTTAGTTCAAGTGTTATTTTTCCCATTTTACACATGTGGAAACTGAGTGTTTAAGTGATTCATCCAATGTCATCTGTGTAAGTAGTATTAGAGCCAGGATTCTGTATCTGGTTAGGGTCTTACAAAGCAACTTTAGCTCTGCTCCTGGGACATAGTTACCCTGCCTCACCCGCAGCATTCCTGGCTAGCTGGTACCTAATAAGTGCCTGATAAATGCTTTTTCATTCAATCACCATTATCATCACTATGGCTCATGTATATATACATTTTCTGGTTAAAAAGAACTTATAAGTTCAGAGATTTAGAGCTGAGTTCAATGCTGTTATTTTCCAAGTGAGAGAACAGAGAACCACAGAGATAAAGTCATTTTTCCAAGATCACACAGGTATTACGTGGAAGAACCAGGATTGGAACACAGCACCTCTGACTCTGGATCTAGATTTGAACTCACAAAGAAGAGTCTTCCTAACTCCAAGCCCAGCACTCTATCCACTCATTGCACTATCTAGCTGCTCCACTTATTATGCATGTTTTATATGATTTTACCTCTTAGGTATAGTTTCCTAACCTAGGAAGATGAATCCTTCCAAATCTTTACCACGTTCCTGGGAGGCAGATGGTACAAGTGTTTTTATTTCAATTTAAAGATACGGAAACTGAGGTTTAGAGATATGATCTGATTTGCCCAAGATCACACAGTTGGGTGGTAGAAGTCAGAACCCAGGACTCTTGACTCACTATCCGCTGATCTTTCTTCCATTCCATGCTTTTGTTGTTGTTCAGTCCATTTTCAATCGTGTCTGACTCTGCATGACCCCATTTGGAGTTTTCTTGGCAAAGATACTGAAGTAGTTTCCTGAGTCTTCTCCAGCTCATTTTACAAATGCAGAAACTGAGGCAAACAGGGTTATATGACTTTCCAGGGTCACACAGCTAATAAGTGTCAGAGGCCAGATTTGAACTCAGGAAGATGAGTTTTCCTGACTCTAGACCTAGAGTGCTCTATCCAATGAGCCACATAAATTACATGCTACCTTTCTGCTATTCTGCTATTATCATCATTGACTATACCTGATTGTCATTGAGTCACCTGGGCTTCCAACTAAGCTTTGAGTATTTTGGGTGGTGCTAGTATACAGAAGGGGCTGCTCCATCACTGGAGCTCTGTAAGCAGAGACTAGAGGGCCACATACTAAGAACGTTTCACAGGGCATACTTCTCTAGACAAGGGTTAGACTGGACCTCTGAGGAACCTTCTATTCTGGGGCTCCGGGAATACTATTTGTTGCTTTTTCAGCCACGTCCTTCTCTTTGTGACCCCACTGGGGATTTTCTTGGCAGAATTACTGCAAGGATTTGCCATTTGCTTCTCCAGCTCATTTTAGCACAGCCCTCCTTCACTTAAATCCAATTCATTTGCAAGTCATGGCATCATCTTCCTGATATCATGGTCCTCTTTGAGAACAAAGGAAAAACAACAACAGATGAAGAAACTGAGACAAACAGGGTTAAGTGACTTGCCCAGGATCACACAGCTAGTAAGTGTCTGGGGCCAGATTTGAACTCACAAAGAGTCTTCCTAACTCCAAGCCCGGCACTCTATCCACTCATTGCACCACCTAGCTGCTCCATTTATAATGTATGTTTTATATTATTTCACCTCTTAAGTATTGTTTCCTAACCCATGAAGATGAATAGATTGGATCACACAATTTCTAAGTCCCCTCTGAGCTAAGTTCCCTTTACTTTTTGGGGATCCCACAATTCTCAGGCTATGTCCCCATCCTGCTTTCCTGTCACTTTTTTCCTCCTTAAAACAGATTCAGATGCTTGTGGCCCAACCACCCTGACCCTTAGAACGCCATCATGCAGGGGTGTGCTGAACCCAGTTGGTATAGGCTCCCCACGTAATTGTTACATGCTCAGTGTGAGCATTCAACCTTGGAAATCAACAAATGCTACAAATCAGGGCTTGATTTATTGTCTAAACTTAAGACTGTTTAAACTTAAGTGTCTAAACTTCGTCTAAATTGTCTAAACACTGATTGTCTAAACTTAAGAAAGTGACAGAGAAAATTTTAATAATGAAGATTAATCTAAAAAGTGTGTCATGAGTATAATTATTTTTCCTTGAGAGCTGTTTGTTAAACATTTACCAACACATGTATGCTATGCATATTAAAAATTAGAAATAGTCTTAGAAGAACAGCACTTGGGATCAACTTACAGAAGATTTAGGACCAGATCTTCATTCTATAGATAAGGTTCCTCTGGCAACAAAAGTAGGTAAATGGCTAGACCAAGGCCACACAGCTAATGCACAGCAAAGCTGAGGCTAGAACCTATTTCTTTGAGGGGGGTAGGGGAACGAAAAAGAGCCTGATACAATCGAATACATAGTTCCCTCCCCTTTGTTCATAGTACCTGCAGCCTACTAAGCAGACAGATCTAACTAAATGCCCTAATTCCACTGGAGTCTCCTCCAAAATGGATTGCAGGGGAAATACTCAGCACTTGGTTCAAGCCCTGTCTCTGATAGTTACTAGTCTTATGTCCTTGAATTAATCATTTTCTTATTCCGTGCTCTGATTCCTCAGTAAAATGAAAGGTTTGGGCTACAGCAGAGGCCGTGGGTTCCCCACCCCTGGATAATCTCTAAGGTCCTGTCCAGTCCTAAAAGTCCTCAGATTTTAGCATTCCCCCAGCTGACTAGGATAGCTGCTGCTGCCTGTGACTTTCTGGCTTAAGATGGACATTTCCTCCAGAGAGATGCCATCAGATACTGGAGTCCCAGAAGGAGCCATTCTTTGCACTGGGCCATCAGAGCTTTGTTCCAGGATGTTGATTAAAAATTGTATTTTCTTCTCCCCTGGGCACCAGCATCTGGGAAGCATGCTTACTTCCTTCAGGCAAATGGATGATTTGGGAAGTAGAAGAAAGAAGGTCCGGCTTATCTCCAGGAAATGTGCTCTTTCCTCCCTCCTTCCCTTGGGTCTTCATTGATATCATGCCCCTCTCTTGGGCCTGCCTTCCCTGGGGGTGTGAAAGTTGCCAGAGAGGAGAAGGTATATAACCTGGGGGTATTCTCTGGCTGAGCATCTGTGCCTTATAAAACACCCAGGAAACCAACACTGAGCCCACAGTGGTACTCACTATCCTTAAGGTATCCTAGAGTTTCTGTTCCATCCCCACCCACACTCAAATGAATTTTCCCCAGATGGTGGAATTCCTCATTATAGCTTTGATAATGAGGATGGAAGCTGCTTCTTCCTGTCCTCTAAGGAGAGATTCCAAGATGTCTTTCCTGAGCACTTTTCATAAACCACTGAGAAGACAGCAGAGTTTTATAAGAGAAGTACCAGCTGGCGAAGAGAGCAGGAGAGCGGCCTGCTTACCTGTGGAAAATCCCATTTTCTTGTGGCACTTGGTAAATTCAATATTAAAATAGGTGACCAGGGCGTGGATGTAGTCATTGCGCTGAATCTGGAGGCAGAATGCGGATGTGAATGAGAGCTCTTCAGTCTTCACAGTGTAAATGTCTACCTCCTGCAGTGGGAGAGGAAAGAGAGAGCACAGGCCACTTACCCCCTTTCCCCCAGGGCTGCCTGAGTCACAGGGTGGCCTCCATTGACTCTGCCCCTCCAGGGCTCAGGGAGTGATGCAAACTTATTGTGACCAAGGTCTGAAGAGAAGAGAAGTAAGGAGATTAAAAATGATATGTTAAACACGGTAAACCATAGGATGTATCTTAAACCCAAGAACAATGGATTTGAGGTTATCTGCTTTATTATTATTGTAACCAAGTCCTGGTCTAAGGATTCATCCTAACATGAAGGAAACCCTGGTTTCTTCAGTGCCATCCCAGCGGAGCAAAGCTCTGAGAGCCCCTGCCCAGCTGAAAAGGCCTCCCTTTAACCTGGTGAGGCTGTAACCTGGTAAAGTGCAAAGAGATTTTGGTCTAGAAGTCAGGAGAACTGGGCTGAGTTCAAATGGTGACACTCCTCATATGAAAACATGACAGCATCAAATTAAAGCTGGCTGATGCCTGAATTCAAATCCAATCTCAAGTACTAGCTGTGTAACTCTGGCCAACTCACTTCTGCCTCAGTTTCTTCATCTGTAAAATGAAGATAATATAGTTATCTGTTCCACATCATGGGAGCTAGGAGCATGGCACCCCCATGATCTGGAAAATCCACATAAAATTTTTTGGCCCCCCCCTTCATACTAGAGAAGAAGTCTGAATTTTTTTTCTTTTTCTTTTATGGGGTGTTTATAGGACCTTACTGTAAAATTTGGGTTAAGTATTTGGTCATAGGCTCTGTGTTGTCTGCTGGCCTTCACATGTCATGTGTGGCTTCCACTAAACTCCAAAAATATTCCCATTTAATTTCTTATGCCGAAGGTAGATATATTAGAGCCACAATAGGGAAAGTCTTGATATGGAAGAGATAACTGTAATAGCAGGGCTGTTGCTAGGTAGTGCAGAGAATAAAAGGCTGTATTTGGAAGCAAGAAGACCTGAGTTCAAAATTGGCTTCAAATAATTACTAGCTGTTTGATCCTGAGTAAGTTAATTAATCTCTGCTTTAGTTTCCTCATCTGTAAAAGGGGATTAGTAATAGCACAGACAATGATGAGACAGTATTTTAAAGCACTTTACAAATCTTAAAGCACTATAGAAATGGCAGCTATTATTGTAAGTAAGGATAAAGTGAGATTTTTGTAAAGCACTTTGCAAACCTTAGAGTGTTACAGTTATATAAATGCAAATTATTATTGTTATTATTGTTGCTATTGTAAATATAAAATGAAAGATTTGAAAAGTGCTTTGTAAAGCTTAATACACTATATAAATGCTAGCTATCATTATTAGATGATCTCTATAGGCAAGAGAGCACTAGATTTATAGTCCCAAGAACTGAATTCAAATTCTGTTCTCTCATTTACAAATTGTGTGACCAAGGACAAGTTAAGTGCTTTATCTCTCTAGGTTTCAAGTCTTCATCTGTAAAATGTGGATAATAATACTAGCACTTCTGATACCTCACCATTGTGCAGAGGTTATCCTGAGTTTGCAAAGAATATGTCATAAAGGGGCTGGTTCTATCAAGCTTTAGCCTTAAGCCTGGTCATGGATGATTTGCCAGTTGTCATTGTTTTCCCCCCTAAAATCTCCCCGACTCCTATCTTCCCTATTACTGTAGAGTACACCATCCTCCCAGTCCCTCAGACTTACAACAATCATCCTGCAGTCCTCACTATCTTTAACCCCCGCCCCCATATCCAAGCTGTTGCCAAGGTCTGTTGATTTCACCTTTGCAACTCTCTCATACATGACCCCTTCTCTCCTCTAACACTGCCACCACTCTAAGGAGTACAGACCCTCATCACTTCCCATCTTGATTACTGCAGTATCCCACTGGTGGGTCTGCTTGCCTCGAGTCTGTCACCACTCCAATCTATCCTCCATTTAGCCACTAAAGTGATTTTCCTAAAGTGCAGGTCCAACCATGTCACCCTCTACTCAGTAAACTTCGGTGGTTTCCTGTTGCCTCCAGGAGCAAATACAAAATGTTCTGTCTGGCGTTCAAAACCCATTAGAACCTAGCCCCCTCCCTTTTCTGTCTTCTTACATCTCACTCCCCAACAAGCACTCTTCAATCTGGTGACACTTGGCCTCCTGGCTGTTCCCAGAACAAGATGTTCCATCTCAGCTCCAGGCGTTTTCTCTGGCTGTCTCCTATGCCTGGAACTCTCTTCTTCCTCTGCTCAGATTACTGACCTCCCTGGCTTCCTTTAAGTTCCAACTAAAATGCTACCTTCCACAGAAAGCTTTCCTCAACCCTTCTTCATTTTGGTGCCTTCCTTCTGTATTTCCTATTTATCCAGTATACGGTGTATAGGATATATTTGTTTGCATCTTTGCATTAAATTGCAAGCTCCGTGACAGCAGGGAATGTCTTTTGCCTCTTTCTTGTATCTCTAGTGCTTAGTACAGTGCCTGGCACACAATAGGCACTTAATAAATGTTTATTGATTGATTGATTGTAGTAAAAGTCATTTTGGTCCTCTTTGAGAATGAAGGACAACAATCAAACCAATTGATTGACTGATTATAGTAAAAGTATTTCTATAAATTTTTAACCTATTTATCTTGTGCTCTGAGAACTTGTGTTAATCATCTTCCTCTTTTTAGACAAGGAAATATCAGGTTTTTTATATTTGCCTCAGGGTGATGAATTCTGCATTTCATTAACATTGCATAGTTTTCAATTGGATGCCCTCTAGATGAATTATCCATTTCACCATGCCAAAAGAATTGAATAGATGTTCATTCCTCTAAATGTGTTAATTGACATTAGGTTATGACATCAGGATACCAACAATTTCTTAACATTTATAGCATTATAGCATCAATTTTTTTCTTAATAGTCTTTCCTAGGAAGACCAGGGCAATTATCAATTGGTTCAGTTTTACTTCCAGCAAGTCATAGTGACATATACTTGTAATCCCTGCAACTAAGGGATGCACACCTATAATCCTAGCTACCGGCACATGTTTATAATTCCTACTGTAAATGGGGTTGGTAGATCATTTGAAATCAGGAATTCTGACTTGAGGGCTAATGCCAGTCTGATGCTCAAACTAAGTCTGACACCAATACAGGGAGCCCTTGGAAGGGGGGGGCCACCAAGCTGCCTAAAGAAGGGTGAATTGACCCAGGCAGAAAAACAGCAGGTTAAAGCTTCCATGCCAATCAGTATCAGGATTGGATTCATGGGTGGCAGCTGCATATGCAGCCTGGGAGAGATAGAGAGATTCAGTCTCAAAAAATAGAAATAATTTTTTAACCTCCGTATTCAAGTTCCAAAGCTACAGGTTTTATTCTTCCTTGAGAATATTTGGGCTTTTATACTTTTCAAATCAATATTTTGCTATGATTGAAGGTTTCCATGAGAAAAGTAGCTGATTTTTTAGTGGTGCCGTATTTGGTAATTCCCCTTGGAGTTCTGAAACTTAGGTCATTAAGTCCCCTAGGAGGTACAACAATAAACATGACACATGGCAATTTCCAGTGGTCTGGAGAGTAGAGGAACAGGCAAGGTGATGGCAAGAAAATGGCCATGGTAGAATATGATGCATGATTAGAGTTTATCTTGTGTTAAAAAAAAATACATCATGTCTTCTGCTAAGAAAGATAAGACCAGGCTTGTATCAGAAAGGAAGCTGGTAAAGCACTCTGCTAGTAATTAATGCACCAATGTAAAGTGTTTGAGCCAGTCATTAATGATCTAAACCAGGTCCATCGCTTTCCAATTTTTCAGAAACGCTAGCGTTTCAATCAGGCAGCTAGGTAGCACAGCAAATAGAGTACTGGGCCTGGAATCAGGAAGACTCATTTTCCTGAATTCAAATCTGGCTTCAGATACTTACTAGCTGTGTGACCCTGGGCAAGTCACTTAACCCTGTTTGCCTTAGTTTCCTCAAATGTAAAATGAACTGGAGAAGGAAATGGCAAACCACTCAAATGGAGTCATGAAGAGTTGTACATAACTGAACAACAAGAGTTTCACTTGCCTACCTTGACATTTTTGGGAAATCTTCCATTGTTCATTATACTAGGTATCTTAAATCTTTAGTAGTTCAAAGCTTTACTAAGACTTCTTGAATCTCTTATATTAATGGTCAGCAAGTTTTCTATTTTACATTTGATCCAAATTGTGTTTTCATTATATTAGACTTATATGGATGACCAAAAACTTTCTACATCTTCCTTCTTTGGGGATGGGAAGGGAGGTTCTCACTCTCTTCTAATTTCTTTGCTTCTCAAGTCTCTTTGGTATAGAGAAATCCCCTTGTCAATGCAGGTTAGCACCTTCTCTGCAACTTATATTCTTAGAGATTTATCTCAAACACAGCAGAGTTAAGTGACTTACTTACCAGAGGTCACTCAGCTAATGTGTCAGATCATCTTGGCTCCAATACCAGCTCTCTAACCACTAAGCCACATTGCTCCTCCAAACTCAGTAGTCTATTTTTTGATTGATGATGGATCATTATTTTCTTTGGGCTGCTCTGTCTCCTTGCATCACCTTTACCTTTTGGCTTTCACTTTTAATTTTGATTAAGAGTATCAATAATTTCTGACATACTTTCATTTTCTAGAGCCTATGCCATGTTTCTCTTTCATTGCCTTTAACTGGGCAATAAAGCATTCAAGTTTTCTGTTGTGTGTGCCAGCTAAATATTGATGTAGAGTTCTGATATCTTCATGCTGATATCCTATCTTTTTTTAAATTTAATTTTATTTTAAATTCGGAAGCATTTATTTACTCTTTATCACTGAGCTGAGGATATCGTTGACAAGAAAGCAGTATGAAGTGCTTGACTAAAAGTGGTAAGATTTATTTTTAATTTTGTTATAATGTAATATAGGCACACTGCACAGTGGATAGAGCATGGCCTGGAGCCAAGAAGATCTGAGTTCAAATATGGCCTTAGATTCTTGCTGGCTGTATGATCCTGGTCAAATAATTTAACT